AAACAAGCTTCAGTCCTATGGGGTGGGATGGTTGGTCCTAGTGCTTGATGGAAGATGGGATGCTGCAAGATGGCATGACAGGTTCCCCATGTCTGTGGTCCCCTGACCCCCAACAACCCTAGGTCCTGGATCTTCACTGGGAAGTGACATAGGCACCTCACCTCTTCAAGTCCCAGACTGACCCAGTCCCCAATGCCAGCTGACTTCGCTGCTCCTGTGTCTGCTGGAGAGCTGGTAACTGAGTCTTGAGGCCCCATTGCCTCACTGGAATAAGTTTAACCCACCACACCCCCCTGCAGGGACAGCATGCTGCTGGAGTGAACGGAAGTGGTTGGTTGGTGAGCTTCAAGTGATTTTCATCGTGTGATGCAACTGGGTCCGGTCAGAACTGTGTCAGCCTCAAGTGGGCTGAGGGCAGGGGTGGGCCAGTCCCTGGGATCTTCCCAGTCTGGGTGGGGTCCGCTAGGAGCGGCTCCTTTCATCAGACAAGTGTGGGCTGAGGCCCGCTCAGAACTGGGAGCAATGGCAGGCAGACCCAGCCCTGCCCCCCAGGACTCAATTGCTGTCCTCTGGCCGGCCTGCCAGGAAAGTCATGGTTCCTGAAAGTTGCCGTAACCCCACCCTCACCCACAGCTCGCCGCATAGACCCCGACCCCCTGCTCCAGCCGACAGCCCTGGGCAGAGCCCAACCCAGGCTGAGCTCGTGCTGCAGCCCAGGGCTGCCCTACTCTTCTCCAGCGCTGCTGAGAGCTAGCGTCACAGCCAAGTGGCTCGCAGGCCCCCGCCTGTTGCTGGTCCCAGGGACTGGCCGCTCCTTGCTCAAGAAGGCAGTTGGAAGGGTTTAGGTTCAACCTAGGACAGAACCATCCCATAGTGAGAGCTAATTTGTCCCAGCCCAGGAAGCCTCTGATTCTGTCTCTGACAGACGGTTCCAGAGGGCGCGCCTGGGCCTCGCCCTGGGGCTAATGCTGTCTTCACAACTTGTTGCCACTGGCCCAGCCTTGGGGGTTTCCTAGTTAAGCAGCTCAGCCAGTAGGGGGAAGCCAAGCGTCTGAGGGGGCAGAAGATGGTATCTGGAGAGAGACCAGGACTGGGAAGTCCTGCCTCCCCTGTAGCCTGGCCTGACAGGAGAACCTCCTTCCTTTGGGGCCTTCATGAAGACTGGCTCCTCTGTCTTAAGGACCGCACACCATTCATTCAGGCCCATGTTCATGAGCAAGGCAGGGGGCCCAGTGGTTCAGAGCATGGACTTGAGGCCCAGACTGGGTTCAAATTCCACCTTTGCCCTAACCAGTTGCGTGTCATCCGGCAACTTATTTACCTCTCTGTGCCTTGGTTTTCCCGTCTGTAATGTGGGGGAAATAATAGATCCAACCCGATAGACTCATTGAGAGGATAAATGTGATCACAAAAATAAAGCACCTCACACAGGATGAGTCCTTATGTTAGCACTAAACAGGAAATGGGAGGATTCAGGGTTCTGGTATTATTCTAATACTGGGGAGTGGTTATGCTCTAATACTGGGGAGTGGTTCTTCTCTAATACTGGGGAGTGGTTCTACTCTAATACTGGGGAGAGGTTATAATCTAATACTGGGGAATGGTTATACTCTAATACTGGGGAGTGGTTATAGTCTAATGCTGGGGAGTGGTTATGCTCTAATAGTGGGGAGTGGTTATATTCTAATACCTGGGTGGTGGTTATATTCTAATACTTGGAAGTGGTTACCTAGATGTCTGTAATAATTATAATTTTATAATAGTTAAGCTATACATTTGTCTTCAGTTTTCTATATACTTCACAATAAAAGGGCTTAAAAATTTGTATGCTCCATTAAAATATCTTTTTGTATTCATTACCTCCTTCCTTCATTTTTGTTCATTCTTTTTTTTTCCCTTAATCTTTTGCTCACTTAAGAGTTCACTCCGAGGTCACACCTGAGTGCAGAGGTGTCTGCTGGGCATCATGGGAGGGGTATGACGTGGCGTGGGCTGGACTGCTAGCTTGGCCACAGCCTGGCGTCTGAAGGACAGGGCAGCCTGGCCAGGCAGTTACACAAGAGTGGAAAGACCGCTGGAGAGGGATAGGGAAGGAAGTGCCAGGGGTCGGTGCCCCTCACCCAGGAGAATTCCGTTTGTCCCTACCGGCCCCACCAGGCAGGCTTCCTCTGTCCAGCCCTCAGCAGGCCCAGGCCAGCCCTGCCAGGTGGGCAGCACTTTGTGGCCAGCCTCCATGCTGGGACCCTCGAGGCAGCCTGGTTTGGGACAGGAAAGACCAGAGATGGGGAGGGGACACTTCATGACCAGCCGTTCAGATGCAGACACCTCGGCAGAGTGAGCCCAGTGCCCTGTGCTACCGGGGGTGGCTCTGGACGTGGAGTCAAGAGAGTAAAGATATCCATTGGATGATCCAACCATCATCTATTGTTTTAAGCTCCTCATCAATGTAAGACAACCCGGCAGGAAAGGGCTGTGCCCACATCTTCCATGCGTGGGGCTGGATTAATTCTCAGAAAGTGGGTGCATCATGTAACCGGCCTCCTTATCACTTGCCATGTCCTGCCTCTCCGGTCACCCCCACCCCAGTCTCACCGCCGTCGCAGACGGGCTGTGGAAGATCCCTGCAGAACGCGTGCTGTGTGCCTGGCGCTGTTCCCCCCCCCCCCACCGTGTTGTGTGCAGCAGTGCCTCTGTCCTTTGCTGGCTAGTGTCCTGTTGACTCTACCTATCCTGTCTGGGATATCCTGTATCGTCATGGAAAAGGACCAGAAAAAGGGCCTTCAGAGCTGATCTCACCCTGTGCTGGTGACCCCCCAGGGCAGGGGAGGAGTGGTGAAGCGGAGGCTCTCACTCCCAGTGTACCTATGAGGAGAATCTCTGAGAACACAGGGAATTGGACCCTGCACATCTTGATAATAAAAACCAGGAACAACTGGGAACTAGACTGGGTCGTGTTAACTGTCACAAAATAGCGTGTCTTGGCTGCCCGTCCACAAGACCCCAGCCGTCACCCCCGGTGTTCTGGGGGTCCCCATGCTCTCAGAGCAAGCCCTCGGTGCTGGCCGCCTTTGCCATCTCCCCTCAATCTCGTCCACTTCTTGGAGTTGCAGATCCGGGTCACAGGCTGTGTCCATCTCCCCTGGGCTACCAGGGGGCGCAGAGGTGCAGCACAGGTTGGCGGGGGCGGCGGGGCAGCCAGTCTGTCTGGTGTGAGGCCACTTGCTGTGTGACCTGGGCTGACTTCTACAAACTGAGCCTCCCAGGCCTCTGAGGGAAGCAGCGTCACTCACTCAGCGTCGAGTTCACGCCTGGGGAGCTCCCAGCCACCCACTCAACCGGTGCACGGTGTTACCGTTTCCACCTGCAGGCAGGCACGCACACGCTGCCTCACATCTGCCCAGCCACCGCTCCACCGGTTCACTGCTCTACACCTCCCCTCTTCATCCCAAATACACTTCCTCACAGACCTGATGGTCCCATTTCACCCAGGAGGGAACCGAGTGAGCTCTGAAGAGCGATTTCTTGAAGTCAGAATTGGAGCTCAGGTCTCACTCAAGGTTTGTGCCACATCAGTCCCAGCTGCCACTCCCACTCAGCCGCTTGACACTGCACACACACTCCCATGGAGGCTGCGTGTGCTCAGTGAATGACTCGGTCAGTGTCCAGGTATAGATGCAGGCCCACTAAGCACCACGCACCAGTTCTGGAGCTCTTGTACAAAAGGGCCAAGTCCTTCCCTCAGGAGGCTCAATTCCTGTGGAGACAGACTAGTAAAAAAAGTCTCTCTCTATATAGAGATATTACTGATGAAGATCAAAGACCACAGCCTTCAGTATGGATGACACCTCAACATAAAGAAAACAAAAATCCTCACAGCTGAACCAGTAAGCAATATCATGATAAACGGAGAAAAGATTGAAGTTGTCAAGGATTTCATTTTACTTGGATCCACAATCAACACCCATGAAGCAGCAGTCAGGAAATCAAACAACGTATTGCATTGGGCAAATTTGCTGCAAAAGACCTCTTTAAAGGGTTAAAAAGCAAAGATGTCACTTTTAGGAGTAAGGTGCACCTGACCCAAGCCATGGTATTTTCAGTCGCCTCATATGCATGCGAAAGCGGGACAATGAATAAGGAAGACCAGAGATGAATTGATGCCTTTGAATTGTGGTGTTGGTGAAGAATATTGAATAGACCACGGACTGCCAGAAGAATGAACAAGTCTGTCTTGGAAGAAGGACAGCCAGAACACTCCTTAGAAGCAAGGGTGGTGAGACTACATCTCACATACTTTGGACATGTTATCAGGAGGGATCAGTCCCTGGAGAAGGACATCACACTTGGTAAAGTAGAGGGTCAGCGAAAAAGAGGAAGACCCTCAGGGAGATGCATTGACACAGTGGCTGCAACAACGGCTGAAACATACCGACTACTGTGAGGATGGCGCAGACCAGGCAGCGTTTCACTCTGTTGTACATGGGGTCGCTGTGAGTCGGAACTGACTCGAAGGCACCTACCAACAACATACAGTTGTATGTCAGTCAGGACAAGTGCTCTGGAGAAAAATAAGGAAGGAGAGGGGTGGGGAGGTGTGAAGTGTCGCTACTGGATGTGAAGTCGTCAAGGAAGGTGGCGTTTGAGCAGAGACCTGTATGTGGAGAAGAGGGTCCAGGCAGACAGCAGGTGCAAAGGCCCTGAGCTGAAGGAAGGCAGTGTGTTCCTGGAACAGCAGAGGCTGATGTGGCCGGAGCAGAGGGAGCCAGGAGGACAGGGGTTGGTGATGACCTCCCTTCCCCATGGCCACGGGGAGGACAAGAGCATGCTCAGCCCTCACGCATGTGTGCATGTGGCCCCTGCGCCCACGCCTGGGAGCCAGAAAACTCCCCAGAAACTGAAAGGAGAAGCAGAGCCCCTCCCGTGCCCCTCCCCTGCCCCCAGCCCAGCAGCCGTCTGCAGAGGTAACTTCCTCTTTTCAGCGCATTTAAGGCCTGGCAGGAGCAAAGAGGCCTGCAGCCCCATCATGGGAGACCCCTTCATCCGTCACATTGCCCTCCTGGGCTATGAGAAGCGCTTCGTGCCTAGCCAACACTATGTGAGTATCGGGGGGCCCCCTCAGCGAGAAGCACTGAGCACACTCCCGGGATGGGGAGAGGACTAAGGCCAGTGGCTCCCATTTTGGGGTCTCAGTCTGCCCATCTGGCTCCGTGGTGGATGTGGGCCCTTTGAAACAGATACGCACCCTGGCACCTAGCCCCTCCCTGGCCCCTGCAGCCACCTCACTCCCTGCTCTCCCCACCCCAGCCAGGGGTCTCCTCTGCTCGGGGCTTGGTTCCAGGGGCCGCCCGTCTGGAGAGCTCTCCAGGACCATCCTGTCTCCAGGGAGAGGCCATCTGGAGCAAGGCTGGGGGGAGGGCTGTCTGTCCGTCCAGTGCCCCATGGTGCCAGTTACATTAGAGTCTTAGTCCCTCTAGTAGGGTGATACTGCCACAGGGACTGAAAAATTGCCCCCTCTTGCCCTGGGGGGGCTGGGGAAATGTCTGCCCAGACATGGCCACCGGTCAGAGGGCCCCCAGGCCCAGGGGGCCGTGGGAAGGTCCTCCTTTCACCAGGCTGTTGCTGTGAGCCAAGCCCTTTCTTTTTAACTTTGAATTTTGAAATAACTTCAAATTTACAAAAGGTTACTAAAAAAAGTATCGCAAACTCCCATATTTCTTCATCCAGATTCTCTTTCTTTCTCTTTCTGAATATACAATTTCTGAATCATTTGAGAGTAAGCTGAAGACCTTGTGTTTCTTTACCCCTAAATACAATAGTGTGTATTTCTTTAAATCAAGGCCCTTCTCTTACATAACTAGTGCACAGGTGTCAAAATCAGGAAATTAGTGTTGATACAACACTATTATCTAACCCACTGACATCATTCAGATTTCACCAGTAGTTCTAATTGTGCCCTGTAGCAAATTTTTAGGGTGCAGGATCCAATCCAGGATCACTAGTTGTGATTAGTTGCCAGGTCTCTTTAGTCTTCTTTAATCTCGAACGGTCTCAGGCCATCTGTTTTCATCTTTCTTGACTTCAGTATTTTTAAGAGAGCAGGTCAGTTATTTTGCAGACTGCCACTCGGTTTGGGTTTGTCTGCAGCTCTTGGTTAGATTCGAGCTGCGTATCTGGGCCAGGGATATCTCAGAATCAAGGCTGCGTTCTCGTTACATCCTGACAGGTGGCACACAGTTTTGTTTTTCTTTTTTAAATCACTAAATTGTATTTAAGACAGCTGCGTGGTGCAAATGATTCAGGGCTTGACTAATAGCCGAAAAGTCGGTGGCTCAGCGGCCATCTACGATACTCCACTGGTCTCGCCCTTTTGGGAGCAAGGGAGAATGAAGAAAACAAGACCTAAGGGAAAGATTGGCCCAGAGGACTAATGGACCACATCTACCAGGGCCGCCACCAGACTGAGTCCAGTACAGCTAGATGGTGCCCGGCTACCACCACTGACTGCTCTGACAGGGATCACAACAGAGGGTCCTAGACAGAACTGGAGAAAAATGTAGAACAAAATTCTAACTCACAAAAAGAGACCAGACTTACTGGCCTGACAGAGACTGGAGCGACCCCAAGAGCATGGCCCCCAGACACTCTTTTAGCTCAGTAATGAAGTCGCTCCCAAGGTTCACCCAAAGATTAGAGAGGCCCATAAAACAAAACGAAACTAAAGGGGCACACCAGCCCAGCGGCAAGGACTAGAATGCAGGAGGGAACAGGAAAGTTGGTAATAGGGAACCCAAGGTTGAGAATGGAGAGCGTTGACATGTCGTGGGGTCATTAACCAATGTCATAAAACAATATGTGTACTAACTTTAAAGAGAACCTAGTTTGTTCTGTAAACCTTCATCTAAAATACAAAAAAAAAAAAAAAGTTGGTGGCTCAAACCCACCCAGAGCCGCCTGAGAAGACAGGGCTTGTGAACTGCTTCCAAAAGGTCACAGCCTTGCAAACCCCAGGAAGCCTTTCTACTCTGCACATGGTGCCACCATGAGTCAGAATTGACTGCACAGCAACTAACAACAACAAATTGTGTTTATTCTGAGGGCGACAGGGAGCTATTGAAGGTTTTGTTTTGTTTTTATTGTGGTAACTGTGTATGCAACAAAGCATTTGCCATTTAACATTTTTTACATGTACAGTTCAGTGACATCAATTCCGTTCCTCGTGTTGTTTAACCACCACTGTTACCCATTTCCAAATTTTTCCATCACCCTTAACAGAAGCTCAGTGTCCCCTGAGCAGTAAGTCCCCCGTCCCCTCCCTCATGGTCTTTATGCACTTGGGTGGCACTCGATTTTGATTGTTTCAATATTGATGATGTTAACCTTGATCTCTAGGTAGTGGAGGTGTCCTCCAGTTTTCTCCAGTGTAAAGTTACTGTTTTCCCCTTTGTAGAGAGAGAATATCTCTCTGCAGAGATTCTTTGAAACTATGTGAATATCTTGTTCTTGATATTAAGTGCATTGATGACTGCTGCTGGAATCGAATCACTGTTAATGGTAGCCAAATGGTGATTTATAGCTCTATCATTAGTTTGCATTCTACTGTGAGAAACAGGCTTCTCTTCTTATTGATTGACTGATTGTTACTTTATTCAAGAGATTATAATCCTTTGTATCACTATGTATTTTGATGCTCTAGTTGTTCTAAATTTGGCTAGTGGGAGCTCCTTCAAGCCGGCTGCTGTGTCCTTTCCACATGCCCCCTCATTGCTTGAGCACGCCCTTACCGCTGGCACGAACTGTTCCAGGCTCAGCCTGTACTTTCCCTGCCCCAGCCCTGGGCTCAGCCATTTCTCTGAGGAACGCTGCCTCTTTTTAGTGGGAAGTGGCAGAGCCAAGATCCAGGCACTGGCTGTGATCATTGTTATTGGGGTGTCATTGCTCATGTCCTTTGGGTGAACAGAACTGGGGGAAATGATAATTTCATATGATTCTTGCTTTTCACCATTTTATATTTGTAGTTCCCTTCTCCCACTGTGAGAACTCTGGTTCCCCAAAAAGGCAATGTATTTACTGCTTTGCTCAATATTACAATACATGTAAAATCGTTTAACAATCAGTACACCCACACCAGAGCCCTCAGCTGAATGTTGGCACTTGGAATCCACTAGCCACTCCTTGGAAACCTTATGGGGCAGTTCTACTCTGTGTGCTATGAATTGTCTGTTCATGCATTTTGCTCTTTTTTTAAAAGCCGACTGTCTTTTAATCCTCAAATTAATTTTTAATACATATTGGAGATATTAGCCTTTTATCTATGATATATGTTCCAAATGTTTTCTCCTGGTTTATCATTTGTTTTTGCTTATTTTTTATGCAAAAGTTTTGTTTTTTTTTTAACTATGAGTCAGAATCGACTCCATGCAACAGTTGTTTTTTTTCACACCCACACCACTATTAACAGTAAAACTACTAACCTATTACATCAAGTTTAAGCTCTCCATGCAGGGTTTTTTTTTATCTTAGACTGTTGTTGGTGCCGTTAGTTCTGACTCATAGCAACCCTATGTACAACAGAAAAAAAAAAAACTGCTGGGTCCTGCGCCATCCTCACAATCATTGCTATGTTTGAGCCTGTTGTTGAAGCCACTGTGTCAATCCATCTTGTTGAAGGTCCTCCTCTTTTTCGCTTTTTCGCTCTGTCTTACCAAGCATGATGTCCTTCTCAGGGACTGGTCCCTCCTGATAACACGTCCAAAGTATGTCAGACGAAGTCTCGCCATCCTCACTTCCAAGGAGCACTCTGGCTTTACTTCTTCCAAGACAGACTTGTTCGTCCTTCTGGCCATCTATGGTACATTCAATTCTTCCCCAACACCTTAATTCAAAGGCATCAGTTCTTCTTTGGTCTTCCTTATTCACTGTCCAGCTTTCACATGCATATGAGGCAACTGAAAATATGATGTCTTGGGTCAGGTGCACCGTAGTCCTCAAAGTGGCATCTTTGCTTTTTAACACTTTAAAGAAGTCTTATGCCACAGATCTGCTGCAAAAGTTAAAGTACTATGAAAAAAGAGGGACTTGGATTTTTGTCTTTGGTCTTTATTGTGGCTGTGCTATCCATCGGATACACAGTTAAGTTCAGTTGTTTCTGTTTGTTTCCAATTTTGAGATTTTTAAAAATCCTTGTTGATTTAATTTCATTTTTAATATATACAAAATATTAGCATGTGTTCAAACAACAAAACTTTACAAAAAGACTTATCACTCTAGTTTGTCTTTCCCGTGTTTCTTGTGACAAAAACAAGTAGATATATGTATGAATATTTTGTTATTTTTCCTTCTTTATGACATACAAAATAATAAACAAGGTAGTGTATGCTATAGCTCTTTCATTTTGCTGTAATATCCTGGAAGTTACAACAAATTAGTTCGTAGAGTCTCATTCTTTTTTTGCAGCTGCATAATTTTTTATTTATGTTATTATGAGTAAAGTTGGACACCTTTTTATGTGTTTAAGTGTTAAGTATATACGTGTGTGTGCTATGAATTGTCTGTTTATGCATTGTGTTCTTTTTTTAAAAGCCGACTGTCTTTTAATCCTCAAATTAATTTTTAATACATATTGGAGATATTAGCCTTTTATCTCTATGTTCCAAATGTTTTCTCCTGGTTTATCATTTGTCTTCACTTATTTTTTATGCAAAAGTTTTTTTTTTTAACTTTATGTATTTGAATTATCAGTCTTTTATTTCCTTTGGATTTTGAGTCATAGTTAGAAAGTCTTTCCATACATCTAGTTATAGAGGAATTCACCCAGGCTTCCTTCTAGCACTTATACAATTTCGTTTTTTACCTTTTGATCTCTGATCTATTTGGAGTTTATTTCTTCTGGTGTATGGTGTGAGGTACTAATCCAATTTTATCTTTTCCCAGAAGTCTACCCAGTTACCTCAATACCAGTTACTCCCGTGATCTGAGATGCCACCTTTATCATATACTAAATTTCTACATGTCCTTGGATCTGTTTCTAGATTTTCTATTCTATCCTGCTGGTCTTTTATTCAGGCACCAGTACCACACTGTTTTAATTATAGGAGGCTTATAGTCTGTTTTACTATCTGATAGGGAGAGTCTCCCCACATAGCTCTTATTTTTTAGGGATTTCCCAGCTATTCTTTTTCCCCCATGCTCATTTATTTGCATATTGTCTGTGGCTGCCTTCATGCCACAACGACACAATTGTGAAGTTGGGACAGAGACCGTATGGCCAGCCAAGTCTAAAATATTTACTGTCTGGCCTTTACAGAAACAGCTTGCTTATCCCTGGTCTAACATGTGTTCTTAGCTCTGAATGCAGGTTAGAATCAACTGAAGTTTATTCAGAAAGCTGCCTGACATTTATCATCTTTTTTAAAACAACTTTATTGAAATATAATTACATACCATATAGTTCACCTGTTTTAAGTGTACAATTCAATGATTTGTAGTATGTTTACAGAATTGTACAACCATCACCACTATCAGATTATTCCCAAACATTTCATTATGAAAACTTTCAAACGTACAGCAGAGTTGAAAGAATTTTGCAGGTAAACACTCATATACCCACTACCTAGAGTCCACCATGAGCTGTGTCCTGTATGTGCTTTGTCACATATCTGTCCTTCCATCCAATTATCTTATTTTTGGTGCATTTCAAAGTATATTGCAAACATCAGTACTCTTCTCCCTAAATATTTCTGCATGCATGTCATTAACTAGAGGACAGTATTTATTTATACATTGTTTCTCTTTTCATGTAAAATTTACATAAAATGAAATTCACAGATCTTAAGGATAGGTTTGCCTAGTTTGGCAGTGCGTCCCCCACATACTCAAACCCCCATCAAGATATAGAGTGTTACTGTCACCCAGAATGTTCCCTCATGCCACAGTCAACTCCACCACTGCCTCCCAGAGGCGACCACTGTTCTGATTCTTTTTACCTAAGTTAGTGTTGCCTGCTCCAGGATGCCATACAAAGGGAATCATACAGCATGTAGACTGTGTGTCTGCTTCAGCAGGGTGCTTTGGAGATTCACTCGTGTTGTGGCATCTGTCAGGGATTTGTTCCTTTTTGTAGCTGAGTAGAATCCCCCTAGCTATTTTGGCATGCTTATTTTTCCTTCCTGAGTTCCTTTGTTTTAAAAAAAATGAAATAAAATAAGAACCTTATAGAGATATAATTCGTATACTATACACTCATCTAGTTAAAGTGTATGATTCCATGGTTTTTAGTATGTTCACGGAGCTGCGCAGCTGTTAGCACAACCAACTTTACTCTTTCATCTTATTTTATTGCTGTGCTTTAAGTGAAAGTTTACAATTCAAGTTAGTCTCTCATACAAAAATTTGTACATACATTGTTATAAGACCCTAGATGCTCTCCCTATACTGTGACAGCACACTCCTCCTTTCCACCCTGGATTTCCCGTGTCCATTCAACCAGCTCCTGACTCTCTGCCTTCTCATCTCCCCTCTGGACAGAAGCTGCTCATTTAGTCACATGTATCTACTTGAGCTAAGAAGCACACTCTTCACGAGTATCATTTTATGTCCCACAGTTCAGTCTAATCTTTGAAGAGTTGGCCTCAGGAATGGTTTTAGTGCTGGGTTGACAGAGAGTCCGCGGGCCATGCTCTCTGGGGATCCTCCAGTCTCAGTCAGACCATTAAGTCTGGTCTTCTTACCAGAATTTGAGTTCTGCACCCCACTTTTCTCCTGCTCCATCAGGGACTCTCTGTTGTGTTCCCTGTCGGGATGGTCATTGGCATCACCACAACCAACTTTAGACACTTTCATCACCCCCAGAAGAAACCTCATCCCATTAGCAGTCACTACCCTGCCCTAGCCCCTCAACCACTAACCTACTTGTTGTCTCTATCCACTTTTCTATTATGGATATTTTATACAGAGGGAATCACACAATATCTGACTGAATTCTTTGATCTTGCTTCACGTGAGTCTCATACCGCCCTGGGAGTTAGGGCCTAGTTTAGCCCCAATTTACAGATGGGGAGTTTGAGGGTCAGAGGAGCTGACCGTCTTGCCCTGGGTCATAAAGCTGGGAGTGGTAGCTTCTGGATCATGAAAGGTGTGCCTTTCTATGGCCTGAGCTGCCCCACACAGACCACCCCATCCCGTGGGCTCCCACCAGAGGGCGGGGTGGCCCAGGTAACTACAAGGCCCCCTCAGAAGCTGAACAAGGTCCCCCCACCTGGCCCCACTGTAGGTGTACATGTTCCTGGTGAAATGGCAGGACCTGTCAGAGAAGGTGGTCTACCGGCGCTTCGCCGAGATCTACGAGTTCCACGTGAGTGCCTGAGGCAGAGGGCTGGCCTCCACCCCAGCTCAGTCCTTTGGGGAGGAGAGCCGCCCAGGTGGTGGTTGAGGTGCAGTGGAGTGGGGGGACCTGTAGAACCTGCAATCCCCTGACTCACTGTTCAGGGGGCCTCTGGGGTTCAGGGAGCACTTGCTCTGTGCCTGCAGGGAGCAGCCCAGCCAGTGTCACCACCGAGGTTTCATCCCGGGGGCTTGCTTCTTCAACCGATGACCACTGGTCTAATTAGGACCCCTGGTTAGGACCAGGAGCCCTGGTGGCGCAGCGGTTAAGAGCTCTGCTGCCAACCATAAAAGTCAGCAGTTTGAATCCACCAGCCGCTCCTTGGAAACCCTATAGGGCAGTTCTGCTCTGTCCTATAGGGTTGCTATGAGTTGGAATTGACTTGATAGCAACAGGTTTGGTTTTTTTGTTTGTTTAATTAGGACCAAAATGTAGGCGGTTCAAACCCACCAGCCACTCCGTGAGAGAAAGATGTGGCAATCTGCTTCCGTAAAGATTTATATAGACTTGGAACCCGACGGGGCAGTTGTACTCCATCCCATAAGGTCGCTAAGAGTTGGAACTGACGTGACGGCCGTGGGTTTGGTTTTTGGTTTTAGTGTAAGAAAAAAACCTAAAAAATCCAAACCGGTTGCTGTTGAGTTAGTGCCAACTGATGGCGACCCCATGTGTTTCAGAGTACAGCCGCCCCGTGGGGTTTTCAGTGGCTGTGGTCTTTCAGAAGCAGATCGCCAGGGCTTTCTTCTGAGGCGTCTCTGGATGGATTCAAACCGCCAACCTTTCTGCTTAACCATTTGCGCCACCGAGGGACTCCTGTTGTATCAAAAGGAGGGTTGATAGTCCTCACAGCCAAGAGCCAGGTCCTCTTGCTTTGTGGAGTTCCTGGGCGGCACAAATGGTTAACACACTCAGCTGCTAACTGAAAGGTTGGAGGTTCGAGTCCCCAGAGGTGCCTCAAAAGAAAGGCCTCGTGCTCTACTTGCAAAAAATTAGCTATTGAAAACCCTGTGGAGCACAGTTCTACCCAGACACACATGGAGTTGCCATGAGTTGGAATCGACTCAACAGCAGCTGATTTTGTTCTCACCAAGATCTACATGACAGAAACCCAAGTCCCCTGCTGGTAGACCCTAAAGCGGCATGTCCAGACACCAGCAGCTGGGTGGATAGGGTGGGTGGGGTGGTGGTCAGGGAGTCATGGTGTGCAGAGTGGGGCTGCTGGTCCTGGTGTGAGCCACGGTTGGCAGGATGGATGGACGGTCCACAAAAGCCGGATGGGTTCCCCAAAGACCTCCCTCCACGTGCTAGTCCTCCTTGAACAGAGAGAGGAGTCCTGCCCTTCTCTGTGTGGGAAGTTAAACTGAAATGCAGCTAAGCACAAAGAGAACCACAGCCAGCCCTGCGCACCCAGCACCCAGAATACACCCCCGATGGCACCCGGCCACTTGCTTCAAGCCTGTTTTAAAAGAAAAGAAACAAAACATGACAAAAGAAGTCGAAGGCTCCCTTCATCTCATACCCCCATCCCAGCTCCTTCCCTGGGTGACTCCACACACACACACACTCACACATACTCACACACACTCTCCCTCTCTGAGTCCAAGAACAGTCTGCAGTCTGCCCAGTGTGCTGAAGGTGGGGAGGGTATGAAAACCAGCTGCGAATCCTTGCCCTCCCTGTGGACTTTAAGTTCCAGCAGAGGAGTCAGGAGAAGCAGCGAACAGAAAATATGTCTTTTACACAGTAGGTTAGAAGGTGGTAAGTCCTGTGAGAAAAACAGAACAGGGAAGAAGGGTAGGGAGAACTGGGTGAGGAGGGGTAATTGTGTGGGTGTGCAGAGCTGCTGTGTCCTGGTCTGAGACAGGGTCAGGGAAAACGCCTCATTGAGAAGGTGATACCTCAGCAAAGACTTGAAGGAGATGAGAGCTTGAGGGAGCGCAAGAGAGAGAAAGTCACAGAAAAGAGAGAGAGGGAGGGAACACTATGCACGGGAACAGCAAGGGCAAAGGCCCTGTGGCAGGAGGCGGCTGGAGCAGAGTGAAGCAGGGGGAGAGTGAATAAGCAGAAGAGGGGTAGAGGTTGGCAGCTGCAGGTCATGTGAGGCCTTTGGCTTCCATTCTGAGTGGGATGGACCCCAGGGAATGTCCAGGAAGAGGAGAGACATGATACAACGTAGTCCTCACAGGATCCCTCTGCCTGCTGGACTGAGGGTAGACAAGCCAGGAGTGGAGAGAGTTGGGAGCCGGTTGTAATACCCAGGCAAGGCATGATGGTGGCCTGGACTGGAGGGGAGGCAGTGGGTGTGGTGAGAAGGTCAGAGTCGCGACAGATTTTTGGAGTACAGACAAAAGGATTTGCTGTGGCTTGGTAGGAGCACTGGTGGCACAGTGGTTAAGAGCTCGGCTGCTAACCAAAAAAGGTCAGCAGTTCAAATCCACCAGCCGCTCCTTGGAAACCCTCTAGGGCAGTTCTACTCTGTCCCATAGGGTTGCTGTGAGTCGGAATCGACTCGACAGCAATGAGTTTCTTTGGGGTGTGGATATGCGGTGGGAGAGAAGCCGAGAGGAATCAAGGATGCCAGGGAAGTTTCTGGCCAGAGCCATCGGAAGGGAGGGTATTTAGGGCATTCCAGTTTTGTGCTTTCACAGACGGTGTGGCCAGAAAGACCATTCCTTCACATCTTCTTCTCTTTAATGTCTAGAAAATCTTAAAGGAAATGTTCCCGATCGAGGCGGGGGACATCAACCCCAATAACCGGATCATCCCCCACCTGCCAGGTGAGGGGTGGGCCACGTCACCTGGGCGGGTGCCTTGTCTGGGTCCTCTGTCCAAGCAGTCCTCCCCACACCCCCCACACTTGACCTCACTGGTTGTGTTGACTGGTTCTCTGGTGCCCCCCCAACCCTCGGCTGGCAGCCCCCCGGTGGTTTGATGGCCAGCGGACAGCCGAGAGCCGCCAGGGCACGCTCACCAAGTACTGCAGTGCACTCATGGGCCTGCCCACCAAGATCTCCCGCTGCCCCCACCTGCTTGACTTCTTCAAGGTGCGCCCGGATGACCTCAAGCTGCCCACGGACAGCCAGTGAGTGGCTGCCTCCTCCCGCTGGGAGTGGAGGGAGGTGTTACCTTCCCCGTTCACAGAGGTGGAGACAAAAGCTCAGAGAGAGGAGGCCGCTTGCCCAAAGTCACACAGCGGGAGAAGAGGCAGCTCTGGTTGCGTGACCTGGAGCACCCGCCTCCTAGCCTCCCAGTCTCCACCGTGGCTCTTCCAGGCTCTCAGGGTGGGACAGCTCTGGAGGGCTGGGGCAATTCTCGGGGCTGGGACAGCTCTCGGGGCCTGGGGAGCACTCAGGGCTGGGGGGAGCGCTCAAAGCCAGGGGGAGCGTTCAGAGCCAGGGGAGCATTTGGGGCTGGGGGGAGCACTCGGGGCCTGGGAAGGGGCACTCAGGGCTGGGGCGTGGCTCTCGAAGTGGGGGGGGGGTGGGGGGCCGGGAGCACTCGGTGCCGGCGGCACTTGATCCGGGACAGGGAGCACTCGGCCCCCCTGGGAGCATTAGGGACCGGTGGAGCTCTTGGGTCCTAGGCTAGCATCCAGACCCTGTGGCTCCCAGGCTGGGCCCTGGAGCACCCTGACACCCTCTCTGAACTTAGTTTCTGCATCTGTAAGTGGGTGGTGGGACGAGATGCAGCAATGGGTGAAGTGCAGAGCGCTTACAAACTGTAAATGTGGCGCTCTTACCGACTGAAGTGTGAAGCACTTACCAGCCATGAAGGGTGGAGCCCCTGAGTGTGCTCCTTGCTGGTTGCTGTGCTCACTGCTGAGCGGGCTGGGGCTTCTGCTTGCCCCTTCCTCAGGGCCTGTTAGATGGGACTGTGAGACAGCCTGGGAGGCCCCTCCCTCTGTCCTCTCAGTCACTGAAGTTGTGGGGAAGGCCTCCTCCAGGAGAAGTCTGCCCCTCACCCTGGCACCCAGGCTGCAGCCAACAGAGAGACAGGGTTCCCCCAGCCATTGCTGTTGACCTGTGAAGGGCCCCTGTCCGGGTTTGCCCCCTGCGGCCACCCTCTCCAGGCTCCGGAAGAAGGAGGTGACAAGCAGCTGACATGAGTTTTCCCAAACCTTGTTGTCGCTGTTGAATCAAACTGTTCCATGGGGTTTTCAAGGCTATGACCTTTCAGAAGCAGATCGCCAGGTCTGTCTTCAAGGTGCCTCTGGGTGGGTACGAACCACCAACCTTCCATTAGCAGTCGAGCGCTTACCTGTTGGTGTCACCCAGGGACTCCTTCCAAGCCTTGTGCGCCGTGCTACCATGATGGAGGAGGAGCGCCTGCTGGCAGCTCTGGGCACGTTTCCCACGCCCTCACTGCTCAACGGCCCCTGCCATTCCCAGCACCCCTTCCTTGGCAGCGTGGACCCCGTCTTCTCTCTGTGGTAGCCCCTCCACCTCACACGCTCATTTTTCTCTTGGGAAGTTCTGCTGTAGATCTGCCTGTCCCCAGTGGGAGCCAAGTGTCTAACCCAGAGTGTTTGCCCCTCCTGCAGGGCGAAGAAGCCGGAGACATACCTGATGCCCAAGGATGGCAAGCCTAATGCAGCGGGTGAGCGGGGACAGCCAGGCAGGGGTGCCCAGGGCACGGGGTGAGGGGGCAGTGCAGGAGGCGGGCAGCTGGCGTAGGTTCCTGGTCCCCACACTAAAGAGCTTAGATCTTTGGGGGTCGCTTCAGAGTGAGGGGAGCTCCCTGGAGGTGACAGTGCTTCCCTCCCTGAGCAGCCGCAGCCCAGAACTGGGTGAACTTGAACCGATAACCTTTCGGTTAGCAGCCACCCAGGGACTCCTTGGAACTTACTAAACCCTTTGCCGTGGTGTCGATTCCGACTCACAGCGACCCAGAGTAGAACTGCCCCACAGGGTTTCCAAGGCCGGAATCTTTACAGAAGCAACTGCCACATCCCTCTCTCATGCAGCAGCTGGTGGGTTCAAACGCCGACCTTTGGGTCAGCATCCGGCGCATCAGCAGCCAGTGCTTTAACCACTGCGCCACCAGGGCTGCTTTTGGAACCTACTAGGTGCTTAGTAAATGCAGGGCTGCAGAGATGAGCTTGTTCTTGGGCTTTACAGTTTACAGGGCGCTTCCACCCCTGGTGTGCCTGGAGCTGTTCTGGGGCCTCCAGAGGAGCCCAGGAGAGACCCAGGAGGAGGAGAGCCTCCCCAAAGTGCCCACTCACCCTGCTCCCTTTGCCCAGACATCACCGGGCCCATCATCCTGCAGACGTACCGCGCCATCGCTGACTACGAGAAGAGCTCGGGCTCTGAGATGGCTCTGGCCTCGGGCGATGTGGTGGACGTAGTGGAGAAGAACGAGAGCGGTCAGCCCTGCTCTGCCCTGGTGCCCTAAGGCCCCTGTACCCCCCACCCCAAGGCCCTGCCCTGCCCTGGTGCCCTAAGGCCCCTTTAACCCCCACCCCAAGGCCCTGCCCTGCCCTGGTGCCCTAAGGCCCCTGTACCCCCCACCCCAAGGCCCTGCCCTGCCCTGGTGCCCTAAGGCCCCTTTAACCCCCACCCCAAGGCCCTGCCCTGCCCTGGTGCCCTAAGGCCCCTGTACCCCCCACCCCAAGGCCCTGCCCCGCCCTGGTGCCCTAAGGCCCCTTTATCCCCCACCCCAAGGCTCTGCCCTCAGGCAGCCTTGGGCCTCTCCGGAGCTCTAAAACGTGCCCCTGGGGCAGCCAAGGGTCTGCACATATTCCGTGGTATGATTGTGACTTTATGGGGGTTACACTTGGGTCGGCAGCTGTCCCTGGGTGTCACGTGGGTTCAAAGCTGTCAATCTGTGACTCTGTGTAATGGCGACTGTGACAGTTCTGAAGCTGGGTGGGTGTTTGAGGTTTGTGTGTCTGGCTATGTGTGTCCTTGCCACCTGGGAGGGGCCTTATATGGCCACGGGAGGCTGCCAGGCCCCCTGATTTGCTTTCCCGCACACTGGCACAGGCTGGTGGTTCTGCCAGATGAAGGTGAAGCGTGGCTGGGTCCCGGCGTCCTACTTGGAGCCCCTGGACAGTCCTGATGAGGCGGAGGACCCAGAGCCCAACTATGCAGGTACCCTGGCCCTCCACCCCAAAAGGCGACAGCCATGGGGGAGGAAGGGGCTAGAGCGGCGGGGATTCTGAAAGCCAGAGGGTACCGCTTTGGGGTCTGGCATGATTGTGCACTGGGCAGAGGGCAAGTCATGGCTAAGGCCCCGCATCTCTGGCTTGGGGGCCTGGGTGGGCAGGGGGTGCTCTTGGTCAGTACAGGTGGAGCAGAAGTGGGGATGATGAGGTCAGCCTGGGACACCTGGCGGCTGTGGGCATGGGGACAGGTTCAGCAGGAAGCTGAATGATGCACAGACCTGAGGCTCAGGAAGGAGGGCTGCCTGGAGGTGAGGGCGCCATCGCTGATCAGACTTCCCCAAATAGGCACCCCCGGGCTGGGTGAGCTCCACATGAGTTTGAAAAAAATTAGAATTGCCCGCTGTCTTAGTTTCTTAGTGCTGCTCTAACAGAAATACCACAAGTGGGTGGCTTTAGTGAACACAAATTTATCTTCTCACAGTTTAGGAGGTTAGAAGTCCGAATTCAGGGCACCAGCTCCAGGCGAAGGCTTTCTCTGTCCCTCTTGTCTCTTTTCAGCTTCTGCTCTTTGGTTCCTTGGTGATCTTCACGTGGTGTGGCATCTATCTTCCCCTCTCTGTGCCTAATCTGCTCCTTTGGTCTCAAAAGTGGTTGGTTTAAGACACACCCCACACTGATGTGGCCTCATTAACATAAAGTAAATCCTATTCCCAAATGGGATTACATCCACAGGTATAGGGATTAGGATTGATAGCTCACATTTTGGGGGGACACAAGTCCCCCCGTAACAGGAAGGTAGCAGAAGACCAGAGGAGGGTGGAGCAGGATCCAGGTGGGACAGGGCTAGCTGGAGGGGATACTCGGCCCAGAGGGGAGGTGGGGATGGAGAGGCCTGTGCTGGGCAGACCCTTACACACCCCCCTCCCGCCCCTGGACCAGGTGAGCCCTATGTCACCATCAAGGCCTACACTGCTGTGGAGGAGGATGAGGTGTCCTTGGGTGAGGGTGAGACCATCGAGGTCATTCATAAGCTCCTGGACGGCTGGTGGGTCATCAGGTATGAGACCACCCCCCACCCCATACTGAGTCAGCCCTGGCTTGGGGAGGGCCCTCTGGCTCCAGGCTGACTAGGCTGAGCGCCTCTGGGCAAGCCACTGTCCCTCTCTGGGCTCGGTCCCCTCCTTGGTAGCCTGTGAGTGGTAACCTCACCCAGCCTGTCCCATGAGTATCCTTGTCTGAGGAGCACATTTTTCCCTTGCAACTTAGGGTCTTCTCCCCTGACTATTCCGTCTATTACTCCTGCTCTGCTAACACGTTAACTGTGGAGTCAGTTATTGCGTTTAAGGACTGGAGGAGCAGCTTCCAGCATCACTTTCCCTTGTAATACTGTCACTGCGATCTCCACCTGTTTATTCCACTGAGTACATTTAGGAATACTGATTATTATTATTCTTTTGGTTCTGAGAGAAAACAGAACCCCAGGGGCTTGCTGAGCCGTCTTCCCCAAGGCCCCTGGCCATATACAGAGCTTTGGATCCTGGGGCCAGCCCATGCCCCCAGCAAACCTATCCCACGGCTGTGGCCAGGCCAGCTACACACTCAGCATGGCCCTTCACTGGGAGGCTGTGAAGTGGCATTTCTCCTCACCTTTTTAGACCCACGTCCAGTTAACCCCCATCACGCACCCCTGAGAATAGTCTCGTGATTTTTTCCATTAGCCAAGAAAAGTTAGTTTTACTGGGTGTAGTTTGTATTATGCAAAAGAAAAAAAATATTCCTAAATATACTATTGAGAATGGAAAGGAAAATATTTTCAACATACGGTGCTGGAACACCATACACAGGGAAAAAAAGAACCTAGACCCCCAGACTCACACCACAGATAAACATTTACTAAGTATAAAACCTAGAACTCAAAAGTTGTTGGAAAAAAGCATAGGAGAAGAACATGGTGACTTGGAGGTAGGCAAAGTTTCCTTAGGACGCACAAGGTAATGACCATAAAAGAAAAAATCGACAAACATAATACTGCAGATGTTTTATGCCAAACACATGTCCCCTGGGGAGATTTAGATATGCTACTTCTTCCCCCTAGCTGAGTTTGAAAGGAAGACAAGGAACGTCAGAGCTGAGAGGCCCGGTGGAGGCCAGAGGAGCAGGGTCTGCCGTTGGTCAGGCTGAACTCCTAACCCTGGGCACTGCCCAGGCCCTCTGAGCCCCCGAGGCTACCACCTGGGCCTCAAGGGCTGTCTCGGTTGCAGGAAAGAGGACGTCACAGGCTACTTCCCGTCCATGTACTTGCAAAAGTCAGGGCAGGACCTGGCCCAGGCCAAACGCCAGATCAAGAGCCGAGGGGCGCCGCCCCGCAGGTGAGCGAGGTCCCCGGGCCTGGCGGGTCTGAGGACGAGGGAGTACTACAGACTCACTCCTTCGGTCCATGCCCCGGACCTGCAGCGCCTAGGCAAGGGAGACGTGGCGGGGCTCCCAGCCTGGCAGGGGAGGCAGGATCCTCACCAGGTCCAGTGGCTGGACGTGCCCTCGTGCGCCGTGGGGCTGGCACGGAGGGGACTCCCGCTGTCCGCGGAAGGCAGGCAGGATGCGAGTGGTGGAGCTGAATGCGTCAGTGCCCTGGGTCGTTGTAAGGAGCGGGAGGGCTTTGCAGTCCTAAGGGCTTCATACGGGAGGAGGCAGCTGCAGGGGGGCAAGAGGTGTGGTAAACTGCTGCGGCCGGGGAGGGTGTGAGGGGACAGCGGCATTCGCAGTCCATCCAGGCCGTGTCCGAACTGCCTCGCCGTCCCCATCCCCGGCCGCTCTCCACCGTCACGGACCAGTCTTTGGACCCCAGGGGTGGCAATCCGAGTCCCAAGGGCAGAGACGTGGGGCCCGGCGGGGTGGCTGGGGCTCTGACCGACGCCCCGTTCCGCGGAGTTCAGGTCGTCCATCCGCAACGCGCAGAGCATCCACCAGCGGTCGCGGAAGCGCCTCAGCCAGGACACCTACCGCCGCAACAGCGTCCGCTTCCTGCAGCAGCGCCGTCGCCAGGCGCGGCCGGGACCGCAGGGCGCTGTCGCCCCGCTACGTGAGTGCAGGCCCGGGCGGGGCGGGGCACCTGGGAGCAGGGCCTCATACCTGGGGTGGGGCCGCGCACCTGGGGGCGGGGCCGAGAGGGTGGAGCCCGGCTGCATCAGTGG